TTTGCGCAACGCTACTCGAGAGCTATCTACACTAGCCGTCTCTAATTTTGAACCGATAGACTAAAGGGAAGGCGACTAGTCAACATCACGTTCTATCAGCTCTTGGGTAATTTCTATCTGATCGAATAGTGGGTTTGGCCAACCTTATAACGTAAACATGGCCACAAAATGTTTTGACAGTAACGGGACGCGAGTGGTTGAGCCGCAGATCCCTTGTCCGTCGCGCTAACGACCGGACGTCTCTGGCCATGTATCCAACAACATGAATTCATTCAAGGCCACTTATTCATAAGATATATGTATATAATAAATAAATCTGTTTTCACATGCATTACTACTTCACATTAGAAGTTGTAAGACAGTATATTAATGGGTAAAAACATAAGGTTATAACGCTAGAATTCAGAGTTCGATTTCCACGGAGGAGAAAGAGCAGATAGCCCAACGTATAGCCTTACAAATGAATATATATATATATATATATATATATATATACATATATAAATTCAGTAATAATTTTTATGCCATACTTCAGGTATGGTATATAACACACTGTTAGGTTGCAATGAAAGTTCAACATTCAGAAACATTAGTTAGTATTTCGTCATCTTCCATAATCACTCCATAAAACTATTATATTCACTGCTAGTGTGAGCTACAATTAATGTAGACGTGGGTCTGTCTAAGTAGCTTTCAAAACACTTTTTGAAAGTTAATTGATAAAGTATAACTAGAGAATTCTCATATCCAAACCATTATGTCAAGTGTTCTTTATTTGAGAACCACCAAACGAGGGAAACATTTGGGTTACGTATGTAAAATTATATCTCAAACGGCATACATCTTCCTGGAAGTAAAAGTTAAGAGAATGTCAAATACTTTTATTCCCACTATTGATCTCGTAGGTTTTTATCTGAATTTTTGGTTCTTCCTTTTCAAACACAGATGCTTAGAAAGGTTAAAGGGCAAGTTGTTCGGATTGGTTTGCCCTGAACTCTTGTTGCTGCTCCGCCATCCATGAGTGTCTCCCGCCACTCAGCGGTAAGTCTTGAAGGCTTATAATGCTAAAAAACTGAGTTTCGATACCAGTGGTAGACACAGCACAGGTAGCAGCATAATGTGTAATATTCCATTTAACAACAAACAAACAAATAATAAACCAAGCCTCCTCGCTGTCAGTATTTGAACTATGTGATAGTAAACTTTTCCGGAACTAAAGCAGTTTTTAAAACGTACATTGAGCTGAATACACCTTTAATTATTTATTCTAATTCATTTATAGATTTGTCAAAATTGTTAATAACTTCAATGTTTTTTTGTCGAAACGCTTTGTGTGTTGTACAGTGCTGGAAAGAGAGGGAAACAAAAAAAAACTATTTGCCAAAGAATAATCGCATTTGAAATATGTATACACTTGTAATATGTTTTCGTTGCAGTTAACATTTGAATCAACTAGAGATGACTTAGAGAATCAGAGCTGTTTGGATACCAAAGAGTGAAACTGAAAGGCTTGCATACACATTTTAAATAGCAGCATCTGTACTCTATCCTACTTTTGAATTTCCATTTAGCTTAGAACCCCTGAGGAAAGGAAGAACCGAGCACATCGATAGATTCTCCAGGGATATATAACAATATCGACAGCAGAATAAGAAACACTGCCTTAGAGGAAGTTAGAAACAGAATAGAGTTCTGTGAGGCATTATAAAGTTTGAATCCGTTCAAGAGAGGTTTAATAGTCTTTCAGATGTTGAATAACTACTTTTTTTAGTTTGGAATGGTATAGTAGTACAATGTCTCTGCTGCCGAAATATAGAAAAGTAGGCACGCAGACAGTTCTTAGGTTATGTGGCAGAACAGATAACTAGAACTGAACTGGCTAGTTTCCGGGATTAACTAGCTTACAGATAACTAGAATTGAGCTGCTAGTATCCTGGATTAACTAGCTTACAAATAACTAGAACTGAACTGGTTAATATCCTGTATTAACTAGCTTACAGATAACTAGAACTGAACTGGCAGATGTCCTGGATTAACTAGCTTACAGATAAGTAGAGTCGAACTGGCTAATATCCTGGATTAACTAGTTTACAAATAACTAGAACTGAACTGGTTAGTGTCCTGTATTAACTAGCTTACAGATAAGTAGAGTCGAACTGGCAGATGTCCTGGATTAACTAGCTTACAGATAAGTAGAGTCGAACTGGCTATTATCCTGGATTAACTAGCTTACAAATAACTAGAACTGAACTGGCTAGTCTCCTGTATTAACTAGCTTACAGATACCTAGAACTGAACTGGCTAGTGTTCTGGATTAACTAACTTACACGTAACTAGAACTGAACTGGCTATATTACTAATTTACAAAACTGATTTGAGCGTTTTACGAACTTCTAGATAATCAAGTCTGATTTGAGAATTTTACAGATTTATAGCTAACTATATATGATCTTAAAATTTTACTGATTTACAGAAAACTAGAGATAATTTGAGAATTTTTACTTATTCAAAGATCTGTTTTGCGAATTTTATGAATTTACAGATAACCAAGTTTGCATATGTAGTATTGATTCTGGTATGTTTTGGCTGTGAGAACCAATCTAATACAAATTTCTAATACAAATTAGATCTGAGAACCAATCTAATACAAATTAGATCTGAGAACCAATCTAATACAAATCAGATCTGAGAACCAATCTAATACAAATACACTCGTATCGTGGGAATTTCAAATATGAACATACTTGTTTAAGTTCTTGATAATTCCATGATTTAAAAACTGTATATTTGCATTTTATCTATATACTGGCGGCTATCTTGGTTTATGTATAGCACTTAATAATGTTTTTGATATGTTTTTACCAGTTTCGTTCATTTACTTAGTATGATATCTTGAACAATTACTTGAGTGTCTGATTGAATTGGTCTGACTATAAGGACGAAGCAGTCTCTAAAATCTGGCTTTATAGAACGAAAGTGGCTTTTCCACTCGTCTATGTTACAGATTGCTTTAGATTTTTACCGAGATTAGTTAATAAGTCAGTAATATCGTTTGACCCCATATGCTAAGTCTTGGTCATTTCTTATGATATTTGAAATGTTCAAAGTGAAAAAAAAAACACTTTTATCCTTAGATTGTTTAAGCAGTGTTATTGTTATTTAGATACAAAATTGTAGTTCTGTCCTATTGTAAACACCTGGCTAGCCTTTTTTAGAAAATGGCAGTTCTGTCCTATTGTAAACACGTGGCTAGCCTTTTTTAGAAAATGGTAGTTCTGTCCTATTGTAAACATGTGGCTAGCCTTTTATACAAAATGGTAGTTCTGTCCTATTGTAAATACGTGGCTAGCCTTTTTTACAAAATGGTAGTTCTTTCCTATTGTAAACACGTGGCTAGCCTTTTTTACAAAATGGTGGTTCTGTCTACCTATACTATAAAGATAGTCAAGAGGTTCCTTTGGCGTAGAGACATTTGACAATACTAACGGACATTGTTTTATACTGAACCAACTCCAGAAAAAAGATGGTATAATCAGTTTAGTTTGTTTTTTGTTAAACCTAAACCTACACAGTGGGCTGTATGTGTACTGCTCACCACGACTATCGAAATCCACTGAGCCACTGAGTGGCAGGTATAATCAGTATAACTATTGACGGGAAATTTATTAAGGAACTTTAAAAATGCCATTTTGGAGACGAAAATATTACACATATATCATTAAAACAGTCGAAAGAGATGTTTTATATAACGAAAACATAAGAGCAATATATATATATTTTTCCTTTGTAAATAACATTTTTCTATGGGATGATTTCAAATAACATAGCAAGATATATATATATATATAATAATTGTGGGATTTGACTTTTATTGTTTTTTGATTGCGTATGTGGACATATGTTTGATTCATTTAGTGATTTATCCTTCTATAAGTAGGCATATTAAACAATTAACAAAAGCGTGTTTAGAACGCTAACAAACCAATAGTCTTTATAATTGACATGTTAGATAGATTTTTCACCATTTGTAATTGGTATTAACGAAACAATCTAATATTTCCGAAAGTCGTTAGATGAAGCGAACAAACATAACGTCTTTCAGAAGTAAAGGTTTTTGTCGTTAAATGTTGAGCTAGATAGTATAAGCCTGTTCCATGTAGTCGTATCAATGAACATCCATATGTGTTTAGAAAGTTAGGACAGGATTAATCGCACAATTCATCTTGAAAACAATGCTGACGCTTCTCTCTCTCTCTATTTTTAATATATTATAATTGGATTGCATTCATAAAATAACAGCATAAACGTGGTCAAAGGAAGGGAATATTTCTTCTACGTTGTCTATTAGGATAAATACTTAGAACTGGTAGTCATTGAGATATTTCTAATGTAGTTTGCACTAGTCAAAATTAATTTACAACTACTTACCGGGTTCCGGATAATACCACCAGTTGTTTTCTACTGATACACTTATCCTGCAAATCACGTGCACGATAAAGAACCGATGATGACAAAAGTATTCCGGATTAAACATAAAACATAGTTAACATAAAACTGACCCACAGCACATGGCCCCCTGAGAAACGTTAAAATGGTAAAACTGCAACATGCATGGTAATAAGGAAGTATTAAGAAGGTGATTTTAAACATTTCACTCATAAGAGAAAATGTTTAAACATTACAGTATATGGGTAAAAACTACTCCATGACATCAACTGTTGATTCAAAGATCATTTTTAATAACGTAGAGTTTTGTAATATATATATATATATTTAGTTGTTTATTTCTATCAACTACTATAGTAGGTTTCATCAAAAATGGGTTTAAAAATTATAATTTTAACCTGGGAATGTCACGCTAACGTGACATGATTCTCTTTCTAGAATTTACGTTTCAAATAAACCCGAGGCGCATACACTGAACAATGCCTTGAATGTTTATTTGTTCGTTCTAATTCCCGAAATGTATAATATTGACGCATACTTATTTTTCCTTTTAGTTGTTTCCTGATAGAACCGTCAACATTATGACTCAAGGGACTTCACTGGTGATGCTCTTGTGCACGTGCATGGCCGTAGTATGCGGTGAGGTGGCGAAACAAAAAGATGGCCCCGGTAAGTACAGCCCCGTTTGTCAGAGTAAAGGTATATAAAATTGTTTGTTTGTTTTGAATTTCGCGCAGAGCTACACGGGGGCTATCTGCGCTAGCCGTCCCTAATTTAGCAGGGTAAGACTAGAGGGAAGGCAGCTAGTCATCACCACCCACCGCCAACTCTTGGGCTACTCTTTTACCAACGTCCTCTTTTATTCTTTGACCGTCACATTATAACGCCCCCACGGCTGAAAGGGCAAGGATGTTTGGTGTGACGGGGATTCGAACCCGCAACCCGCAAATTGCGAGTCGAGCGCCCTAACCACCTGGCCATGCCGGGCCTAGGTATATAATATAACCTTGCAACTGTAAATATATATATTTGTCTCGTGTGAATAACTAACCATGGAAAGACAGAACTAAAGTTAACAAGTATATCTAAACTGTTATTTTCCAAATGTTAAATTTTACAGTGGCAACTTATATTTTAGAAGCACGATTCTTGATAGAAATAGCATCAAACAGTGATACAATAAAAAAAGACATAAATGTCAGTCTTAGGAAAATAATTACATCCTAATATTGCTCTTAAGCTAATTTTACATGCATGCTTTAAATCAGTGAAAAATATTGTTTAGAAAACAAATTAGATTATTCGATTAATATATTGCTCTAGACAGTATATATTAGGTGTAAGTTCATAGGTTAAAGAAACATAAACTCAGTAAGAACGCTATGCAAATGAATAATCAGTCTCTCACTATTGGGCTCGGCATGGCCAGGTGGCTAGGGGAGCTCGAGTCGCGCTCTGAGGGTCGCGGGTTCGAATCCCCGTCCCACCAAATATGCTCGCCCTTTCAGCCGTGGGAGCATTGTAATGTGACGGTCAATCCCACTATTCGTGTGTAAAAGAGTAGCCCAATTGTTGGCGGTGGTTGGTGATGACTAGCTGCTTTCCCTCTAGTCTTACACTGCTAAATTAGAGACGGCTAGCGCAGATAGCCCTCGTGCAGCTTTGCGCGAAATTCAAAACAAACTCTCACTACTAAATTAATCTCGTGAAATTGATAAAGTTTTTTAACTCTCAGCTTTAAGTGTCGTGTAGGATTTTTCAACTTTGCTGAACTTACCAATGAAAATTCATAAAATATGATATAATATTAGTTTTATAACCTCCTCAAACGTTTTATAAAAATTGTATCAAATGAAAAAAAAACTAAGTATATTGATTCCTACCTTACTTTACCGTTTAGAGAAGGTTTAAGGAATGTACGAAAAAGCTTCTTAAAAAAACTATGTAAACAAATACACGAAAATACAATATGGCCATTTGAACATCATATTTAAGCAAGATTAACAGTTGTATATTATAATAAAAGCTGTACAATTATAAAATATTAAATATTAGTATTCTTAAATCTACTTTTCATACGAGTATGGTTAATTGTACATGTATACATGCTGATAGGTTACTGTTTTCTTGGGAACTACGTTCACAAAATTGTATACTAATCGTAAAACTTAATTCAAATTATTCTCTCCCCAGTTTTATTTTGTAATTTTTATATATCATTTTTCTGTTTATAAATTTACACCTTTACGTATACAGCTGCATTATAAACTTTTATGTGTTCTTCATTCACATCTGTCAGGATGTGACTTCTAATTCCGTCAATAATAACGGGTGTATTTTTTGGATTCACACCTTTTTCTTCTTTGTAGAGCGTGTATTGGGTAATTAACTAACAAAGTTGTTATGTATTTATGAGTATTGGTTCAGAGGCAAGTCTGAAGGTTTATAACGCTAAAAACATGATTTCGATACCCAAGAAACAAATAAACAAAATTTATGAATACTTTTTAATTGGGTGGTTATCTAACAAAATAGATATCTCAAACTTGATGACGCAGAACCTACGTTTTAGAAAACAAAGTTTGAGACGACTCTTGAGTAGGTAGTTAATACTCTTGAATTGGGTGGTTATCTAACAATTATTTTTATGAATACTCTTGAATCGGGTGGTTATCTAAGAATGATTTTATAAATACCCTTGAATTGGGTGGTTATCTAACAATTATTTTAGGATACTCTTGAATTAGGTGGTTATCTAACAATTATTTT